GGCGAGACCTGGGCACGGACGCCGCCCCGGGCCCTGCGTGGTCTGGGCGCCGCGCTCCGCCCATCGGCTGCCCGGGCCGGGGGTAGAGACACCTGCGGGAGGAGTTGACGGTGGGGCGACTTTCCGGAACCCCCAGGGTGTCCCCATGCAGCTGGGCGCCCGGTTACCGTCGCCGCCTCCCACAGCAGAGGGCTGGTGGAGACTGCTAGGTTCCTTCTAGGAGCCGCCACATCTTGTTAGAAAGAGGCGGGATGCGAGAATTTTGCTGTTGGGGGCCTAGTGCTGAGGGGTTTAATATTCGAGACGCCATTCATCTTTTATGAGATGGGCTGAAAGGGTTACTGTGAGTGAATTCATCGAACCGAAGCCCTGGAATTCCCCGACCCGGGCAGCTCACTATGATCCTTTCGTCTTTTGACATTTCCCGTGAGTGGAACCGAAATATTGTAGTTTCTGAGTTGAGAGATGATGCAAATGATACAGTGTCTTAGATTCTCTATAGTGATCCATTCCCTAGAAGTAGGACATGAAAAAGAGCTTACTGATTTTAGAGGAATTTGGGTGAATTAAGTGAAGGCTGTACTAAGGCCAAGAGACAAGCCATCCAGAAATTCATGGAATCTTCCTTGGCTCTACTACTTGTTAGCTGTGGGATATGAGGAAACCTGTTTATTCTTTTTGTCTGAATAAGTGTCCGATAACTGATTGGCATTGTTATTAAATACAATTATTTCTGGATTAGTCTTTATTTCTTCAACAAGTATTTGTTAAATACCTACTTGGTGCCAGACTTTGTAGTAGACAGACACTGGGCGTATAGTATCGAAGACAAACTTTCTGAGTGGGGCATGCAGACAAATGATAGAGGAAGTACAGGGATCATCATATCCATGGGTCAGGGGTGAGCTCTCTAAGAAAATGATTTAAGCTGAGACCTGAAGAGTAGGAGTGAGCCGGGTGTGGGGACTGGGGTGAGGCCAGGAGGAGGGAAGGGAGTGCACCTACCTGGGAGGCAGTAGCATTGGTGCAGTTCAGAATTGAAAAGTCAGTGTGGCTGAAACACAACGTTCAAGAGGAAGTTAGTAAGGCAGGAGTTATTCATAGCCAATGCAGAGAGCCTTATAAGGTATTTTAAGGAGTTTCAGACCTTATTGCTAAGGGTGATGGGAAGCCATTGCAGGGTTTTACATAGCAGATTGAGTTGACAAATTTTGTTTCTAAAAAAGGACACTTCTTAGAGAAGAGCAAGCATGAGACAATGGTGGCCAAAATTGGGATTGTGACCTTGGGGATGGACAGAAGTATAAACATTTAAGAGGTGTATAGGAAGAAAAGTGAACAGTACTTGGTGAGGATTAAATATAGCTGGTGAAGGAGGAGAGGCTTCGAGTGGTGGATGGGTTTTATAAAACAGACTGGCAGTTAGGTAAATTTTCCCACATGCAGGTTGACTTCTCTGTGATCCATTAGTATCTAGCTCTCAAGTAATTCCCCAATGATGGCAGACCAATTGAAAATGACTGTAATGCTTTGTTGTTTTTTACTTTTTCATTCAGGCTACTTCTCTTTTTAAAGAATGTCAGAATGGGGAAAGACTTTTGTCAACTAACCATTAAAAATAATATTCTGCCACATTGCTTTTGGCCGATAAGAGTGGTTGCATGATATTCCATGATATGGATGAGCTGTACTTCATTATTTACATGTTTACATTTACTTTTTCCTAGGTTTTTTACCTCTGTTAACAGTGCGGAACCAAGTTAGCACTTTATTAGGTTGGTACAAAAGTAATTATGGTTTCAGACCGTGAATTTTACATCATGATTAGGCTCAAACACATCTTTCTTAATCAAAATTGGAACCATTACAATCAACACATTTTTGCCAATGAGAAATAAGTTTAATTATTCCTGTAGCATAAAAATCTGTGCTTCGGGATTCGGCGAACTCTTGGAAAGCATTTTCTGCATCCTGCTGGTTGTGGAAGTGTTTTCCCTGCAAAACGTTGTCAAGATGCTTGAAGAAGTGGTAGTCATTTGGCGAGAGGTCAGGTGAATATGGTGGATGAGGCAAAACTTCATAGCCCAATTTGTTCAACTTTTAAAGCGTTGGTTGTGTGACTTGTGGTTGGGTGTTATTGTGGAGCAGAATCGGTCCCTTTCTGTTCACCAATGCCGGCTGCAGGCATTGCGGTTTTTAGTGCGTCTCATGAATTTGCTGAGCATACTTCTCACATGTAATGGTTTCACCGGGATTCAGAAAGCTATAGTGAATCAGACCGGCAGCAGACCACCAGACAGTGACCGTGACCTTTTTTTTGGTGCAACTTTGACTTTGGGAAGTGCTTTGGAGCTTCTTATAGGTCCAACCACTGAGCTGGTTGTGCCGGTTGTCGTATACGATCCACTTTTCGTCACACGTCACAATCCACTCGAGAAATGGTTTGTTATTGTTGCATAGAATAAGAGAAGACGAAACTTCAGAATGACATTTTTTTAAATTTGGGCTTAGCTTTTTCACCTTTCCAGTTTGCTTCAAATGCCAAATGACCGTAAAATGATCAACATTGAGTTCTTTGGCAACTTCTCATGTAGTTGTAAGAGGATCAGCTTCGATGATTGCTCTCAATTTGCCATTGTCAACTTCCGATGGCCGGCCACTACACTCCTCATATTCAAGGCGCTCATCTCCTTTGCAAAACTTCTTGAACCACCACTGCACTGTACGTTCATTAGCAGTTCCTGTGCCAAATGCATTGTTGGTGTTGCGAGTTGTCTCCACTGCTTGACGACCCATTTTGAACTCAAGAAAATCACTCAGATTTGCTTTTTGTCTAACATCATTTCCATAGTTAAAATACATATAAAACAAATAGCAAGTAATAAGTCATTAGCAAAAAAACATAAAGCGATAAATGAGCATTAAAATGTATACCATAACCACATTTATTTAAGATGTATTCTAATATCAAAGGCAAATTTCAACAATGCAAAAACTGCAATTACATTTGCACCAACCTAATACTGCTATCAAGTTGATTAATATATATATATATATATATATATATATATATATATATATATATATATACACACACTTAGGGACAAATAATTGAAGACATAGAAATTGATGACATTGCTCATCGAAAGTATGTAGTAAGAGAAATACCTAGGCTTCGGATTGGATGTTTGAAGGTTGGATTGAGAATGAATAGCATGCAAGGAGACTAAGAAGACAAGACCAGTGAGTTAGGAAGAAAATCTGGAGACCTGTCTTTGGATGCTAAAGAAAGGGCAGATTTCAGAAGGTGAGAGGAGTCCACAATGTCAAAGGTTGTTCAAAGAATGTGCAGCATAACAAGTCGAAAGTACCCTTTGGATTTAGGAACTTATAAGTCATTTCAGGACTTGGCAGAGTAGTTTATTGTCGTGTGGTGGAAACCACAGTTTTTGTGTGGTAAAAGTGAAGCAATGAAATATTAGTTGTCCAAAGTACAGAAGATTGAACTTGGGAGAGGACATGGAGAATGAGTAAGGATTGTTTTTGTTTTATTTGTTGTTTCTGTTTCTGTTTTTCTTTTTTGGGAGGAGGGGTTGGTATTGGTTTTTTTTTTTTTTTTTTAAGATTTTTTTTTTTTATTGGGGAATTGGGGGATGGGAACAGTGCTGGGGAATTGGGGGAAGGGGAACAGACAAGTTGCTGTCCTTTTGTTCTTCAGTCTAGTTGTGGAGGACGTTGCTTCACTGGCCCGAGTTGGCACCATCATTGCGCTCTTCCTGGTGAGGCAGATCAGTCGCTGGCTTCTGGACGGCCGCTCACTGCGGCTGCTGGCCGCTCACGCTGGCTGCTGGCTACACACGGTAGCCCATGGCAACCCACTGCCACAGGGGCTGCAGCCTACGCCTTCGACTCACGGCAGCCCAGCTCCAGGTCAAGCTGTTGTTCAGCATCTTAGCTGTGGAGGGCAGTGTCACTGGCCCTCATATGTGGGATCCGAACCGGGGCCCTCTGGCGTCCCAAGCCTGTTCTTAACCATCGCGCCACTCGACTGGCCCGGTATTGGTTTTTTTTGTGTGTGTGGTTTTTTGTTGTTTTTTATGTATGATTTTATTTTTTTATTTTTGTTTTTTTTTATTATTAGTTTCAGGTGTACAGAACAATGCAATAGTGATCCTTTTCACCCCTCACAAACTAACAACACCCCTCACACCACCCACTGTCCTTCTACCCCCCGGTATCATACTTATCTGTTACAATTCCATTGACTCCATTCCCACACTCTACATCCTGTGAGGTTGGTATTGTTTTTGAAAAGAGCTTTGCAAATGTTTAATTTCTAAAGAATTAGAGGAGAGTGGAAGTCTCAAGAGAGAAGAGGGAATGTGAAGTTCTGGAAGAGGCAGAGGGGAAAGGGTACATAGCATGACTGAAATGTTTGGCCTCAGCTAGGGAAGGGGACACCCTTCTTTCCCTGTATCAGGACATGTAAGTAGAGGTGGGTATGGTGTTGGAAACTCAAGAAAACTCCCTTATGATGATTCTGTTGGTGACAAAATCGTCTGGTGAAAATGCACTGGGAAGTGGGTGTCAGATTTGAGGGTAGGGAAAAGAGGTTTGGGTACATACAGTAAGTCCCCGACTTACGAGCGAGTTCCGTTCCAGGAGAACATAAGTCGGATTCGTTTGTAAGTCTGACAAAGTGAGTCTTATGCACTTTTGACACAAATATACAATGTAAAGCCAATGGTTGAATGATTCATGTTATTAGAACGAGCGATGTCTACCATCTTTTCTTGGTCCAGTCTCTCAATTATTTTCACTTTTGTTTCCATAGTTATTGCTTTGCGCTTCCCAGCAGTCCCCTCCGCATCAACACTGCTTTTCCTCTTGCTTCCGGACATCCTGGGCTCCGATTGAGCACTGCACTACTGTACACTATCGCACTGTACAGTAAGCACCCAGCAGCGCAACTGTGACAATGTCTGGCAGACACGTGAGCTACTTCCATGATTTGTTCGCATCTACGAATGTTCGTAATGCAAGGTCCGTTCGTATCTGTGCAAGTTCTCAACTTGAATGTTCGTAAGTCGGGGACTGATTGTATTCCCAAAATGGGAAGGAATATTGACCAGAGAAATGCAGAATGTCTGTGGTTGAGTGGCAGCCATTTAACCTGCTGTGTGATTTTTTTTCTCTCCAGCAGTGTTCAGTTATCTGAGCAGACTGTACCATCAACCCTTTGAGGATATATATTTCAGCATATTTGTTAAATGATTATATAACACATCAGAGTGATGTTAAAAAAAAATTTCAATGCCCTCCTTATTTTATCAGTTTCTCATACTTTAATAAAAAGATAAAACTAAAACATACCAATGGAAGATATTTTCTGTAGAGGTGTGTGGTATCTTAAGACATAATTGAATGGAAAATAATTGAGGAAAATCAGTTAGAATACTAGTTAATTAAATAGATTTAGCTGTAAAAAAAAAAGTACTTTTTGAACATAGAGAAGTAGAATTAGTAATAATATTTGAAAACTCATAGACACCCTAAGGTTGTCACCCAGTGACATTCTTCTCAGCCAAATGGGTAACTACGGGTTAATTCCAGGTTATCTCATGTTTCTTTTGGGCCTTTCTTTTCTCAAATAACATTTTTTTTTTTTAGCTGAGCCATCCTGCCACCTGTTGGCAGCTCAGCGGCAGCTCAGCTTGGGCTGGGAATTGAACTGGCGACCCTGTTGCTCGAGCTTTCACTCTTGAGCAAGCTCTAAACCAACTGAGCCACTCAGCCGGCCCCTGGGCCTTTCTTTTAATGTCCTGGCATTAAGAAAGTATAAATAAGCTGATCACAAACTAGTTCCTTTTTAAATATATATGCGGTTCAGTTCTCCATAGATATTCACAATGACCATGAGCCACTGCATGGATCTGTCCTTTGGAAACAGCATACTAGAAAAGTTGAAGAATTATCTAGTAGATAGTGAAATCATTTTTAGACCGTTGTCATGTTTTAAGTGCAGCTTGTGGGGGCACTTAAAATTGAAATAATTATCTGGGTCCTTTAACAAATAATTGTGGTAACTTTTTTAAAGTAAAATTGTTTTAAATTTATTTTACAATAACTATTGGTCAACATTATAACTTTTCAATTTTGACTAGAAAGGCCAGAAGTTGGTTTGCTACTCTTTGTATTTAGATTTGGAAAGTGGGTTTGATAAAGTAATTTAGTAGAGATAAAAGTACAGGGAGAACTATGGATCAATTTTAGGGACTTGAGTAACTTTAATACAGTTAAAGTTTGCTTCTAGTAAGTTTATTAGTTAAACCACGTAAAGACTACGATTTTAGAGCTGCCTTGTCAAAAAGATGTAGAGGATTTTAGGCAAGTAGTAATGATCGCTATTATTGGATACTGGTGCTTTTTAAGTTAGACTTATATAATGATAAAGTGCCTCAGTCTATTTAAGATCTGAGTAGCTTTTCATTGTGCGAAACCCATTTGCTGCAATCTAAGCTAAGTTGAATATCTCACACTTGCATGTTGTTGAAAAAGCAGATATTGGAGTAAGAATGAATTAGTTGAATTCCTCACCACCTCTGGAAAAACACCTTCATTGATGGTAATTTAGTCATACAATCTTAGCATATGATGAATAAAAAGCACAGCCTTTTTGGTTTGGATAAACTGCTGAGTTTTTAACCCGGAGACAATTACCATTAAGATGCTGGGTTTCAGAAGAAACTTTATTTCTCACTTACTGATTATTTTGTATGAAGAAGTTACATGTGAAAGGTAAATTATGTAAAATTAATGTTGAAATATTTTTTCTTCTTTTTAGGTTACTATAAACAAAAATTCCACCAGAGAAAATGCTGAAATCAGAGTTACGGATACATGAGATTTGATTTGCTGGATGAAATACAGCAGTTAATAATTGTAACCTGGGGAGAGAGCCCAGATTGCCAGATTACATGTGTAAATCACTGCGTTATTGCTTTAGTCATTGTCTCTATTTAGCAATGACAAGGCTGGAAGAAGCGAACAGAGAAGTGAACATGCATTCTTCAGTGCGCTATCTTGGCTATTTAGCCAGAATCAATTTACTAGTAGCTATATGTTTAGGTCTTTATGTAAGATGGGAAAAAACAGCAAATTCCTTAATTTTGGTAATTTTTATTCTTGGCCTTTTTGTTCTTGGAATTGCCAGCATACTCTATTATTATTTTTCAATGGAAGCAGCAAGTTTAAGCCTCTCCAATCTCTGGTTTGGATTCTTGCTTGGCCTCCTATGCTTTCTTGATAATTCATCCTTTAAAAGTGATCTGAAAGAAGAATCAACCAAATATTTGCTTCTGACTTCCATAGTGTTAAGGATACTGTGCACTTTGGTGGAGAGAATTTCTGGTTATGTCCGTCATCGCCCTACCTTACTCACCACAGTTGAATTTCTGGAACTTGTTGGATTTGCCATTGCCAGCACAACTATGTTAGTGGAGAAGTCCCTGAGCGTCATTTTACTTGTTGTAGCTTTGGCCATGCTGATTATTGACCTGAGAATGAAGTCTTTCCTAGCTATTCCAAACTTAGCTATTTTTGTGGTCTTACTGTTTTTCTCCTCATTGGAAACTCCTAAAAATCCCGTTGCGTTTGCATGTTTTTTTATTTGCCTGGTAACTGAACCTTTCCTTGACATTTATTTTAGTGGCCTTTCAGTGACTGAGAGGTGGAAACCCTTTTTGTACCGTGGAAGAATTTGCAGAAGACTTTCAGTCGTTTTCAGTGGAATGATTGAACTTACATTTTTTATTCTTTCAGCATTTAAGCTTAGAGACACTCATCTCTGGTATTTTGTAATACCAGGCTTTTCCATTTTTGGAATTTTCTGGATGATTTGCCATATTATTTTTCTTTTAACTCTTTGGGGATTCCATACCAAATTAAATGACTGCCATAAAGTATATTTTACCCACAGGGTAGATAACAATAGCCTTGATAGAATCATGGCATCCAAAGGAATGCGCCATTTTTGCCTAATTTCAGAGCAGTTAGTTTTTTTCAGTCTTCTTGCAACAGCGATTTTGGGAGCAGTTTCTTGGCAGGTAAGCTTACAGTTTATTATGTCAGTGTCTATGATGTATGATGAAATGTTCGCTTCAAGTGTTGAATTATTAGAATTGAAAGATCAAGTTCCTCATTTCAGAAGAAGATTCTTTTTTGGCACTTATTTAATTTTGTTAATGGAACTGAAGTATTGAATGAATATTGATAGGATAATTGTTTGATTACTAGCAAAGAGGTACCAAAATGTTAGCAATACTCAGCATGTGACATCTCGCATCTTCTGCTACATTAATGAGGCACTCCTAGATTAAAGATTCTTAGAATATTAACATTTGAAGAGTGCTTAGAGATTACATTTTAATCCTTCCATTTTACACATGAGAAAACTGAAAGCCAGAGAAGACATATCCAGAGTCACTGTAATAACCAGAACCAGGTTATCTAGCTTCTATGAGTATCTAGTCCACAGTCTCCTCACGACAGCAGATTTCTTTTCTATAGCCTTTTCCCTAAAGGAGTTTAGATATATAATAACATAGACATTAAAAGAGGATTAGATACTTAATAACAGATTAGAGGCTCTCCTAAGAAAGAAAAAATGGGTTTTACAGTACATTTGCTGCCCACAGCATGTTAAGAAAAGGTCTTCTTTTTTTAAACATTCAAACTGTATGGTTGGAGTTTATAGCTACAGTATGAATAAACCCAGTCTTTCATTCTTGGAACACTTATTGGCTGCACTCTATGTCAGGTACTGTACTGGGTGCTGATGAGCTCAAGATGAATAATGACTCTTTTCTTAAAGAAGGCATATCTCATGGGAGAGGGATAGGCAGGCATGTGAACAAACGATTACTACTGTGTGACAAATGCTACAATTTGACTAAGTCAGGTTGGGATGTAGCCATAAAGGAAGGTCGCTCGTCCCAGCTCCATGCAGCTCTCTGCTTTGCACCGTCAGGGGCTGCAGAGTGTTTCCAGATGTGAATATTGGAAGGGAAATGTGAGGACTGCCTGGCTATGGTTCTTTTTAGTGAATGTGGGCTAGGGCAGGGAGCCTGTGTGGGAGTCTCCAAGTGATGAAAACGTGGGTGTTGCCTGAGGATATCTTCCTCACTTTACTTGGCAGTGCTAGGGACAGTCAGGATGATGATGATGATGATGATGATGATAGATAATGTGGGAAACTCTTAACAGGAGTTCTCCTTCCTCTTTCTCGCTTCTTCTTGTTGGCTCCTTTCCCAGTCCTGCTTTTTCTCTTTCAAATCAGCCTCATGTTTGACATCTTTCCAGATCATTAAATCTTGTTAACCAAATATCTTCTGAGGCACCAAATTCTTGTTTACTTAATATTGGGGGTCTTCAAATATGGTATGTGTACCACTGGAGTTACACAAAAGCTTCCCAGGGAGTATGTCAGCAAAGATAATTTTAAGAAAATCCGTTTTCACATTCTCACATTCCATTCTATTCTTTCCTAAAGTTGATCTGCTTGAGAATGCCTTTCAGTCTGTGTGTGGAGTGGTATCTCATTGTGGTTTTCCTTTGCGTGTCTCTAATGATTAATGATGTTGAGCATCTTTTAATGTGTGGAGTGGTCCTCCACTTATCTTTGTTATTGAAGTATCTATTCATAGCTTTTGCCCATTATTAAATTGGGTTATGTCTCTTCTTATGATTGAATTTTAAGTGTTCTTTTTATATTCTAGATACAAGGCTTTTATGAGATATATGATTTGGAAATGTTTTCTCCCAGTCTGTGGCTTATCTTTTTTTCTTAATGATACTTTTTGTAAAGTACAAGTTCTCAATTTTTTGAAGTCCAGTTTATGTATTTTTGTCTTTCATAGACTGTGCTTTTAGTATCATATCTAAAAAAATCTTTGCTGAACTCTAAATCACAAAGATTTTCCTCCCATAGTAGTTTTCTTCTGTAGTTTTATTGTTTTAACTTTTACATTTAAATGTTTGATCTATTTTGAGTTGATTTTTGTTTACGAAATGAGGTAAAAATCTAGTTTTTTTTTAAAAAAATATGTCTTTCTAATTGTTCCAGCACCATTTGTTGGAAAGGTTATCCTTTTCCCTGCTGAATTGCCTTGGCACCTCTGTCTAAAATCAGTTAAATATAGATGTAAGGCTTTACTTCTTAGCTCTCTTTTTTGTTCCATTGACCCATACGTGTATGTCTGTCTATCCTTATACTAGTAATATGCTGTCTAGTACTAGATATTTTCTGATTTCCCTTGAAATTTCTTCTTTGACCTATGTGTTATTTAAAAGTTTGTTGTGTCATAGTATTTGGGGGATTTCCCACATTTCTTTCTGTTACTGATTTCTAATTTAATTCCATGTGATTAGAAAACATAGTTTAAATGATTTTAGTCTTTTATTCAGACTTATTTTGTGGCCTGGCATGTGTTTTGTTTTGGAGAATGCACCATGTTCATTTGAAAAGAATGAGTATTCGGCTGTTGCTGAGTAAAGTGTTCTATAAATATCAGCTACATCAAGGTGGTTGGTGGTGGTATTCATGTATCTATATCCTTGCTGATTTTCTGTCTAATTCTATCAATACTGAGAGACAGATATTAAAAATCTTCATTATAATTGCTAAATTGTGTATTTGTCCTTTCAACTATGTTATTGGGTTGTAAGAAAAGTCCTGATGTATTTTTTTCTATGTTTTTCGTTGTAAAAATGCGTCATGAGCTGACGCAGCTGGGGCCCCCCGCCCGCCTTCCCAGAAACACAAAAATGTGTCATGACTTTTCCGACAACCCAATATTTTCTTGCCTCGTGTGTTTTAGGTTTCTGTTTCTAGGTGTATATACATCTTTAATTATTATACCTTCCATGTGTGTGTGTGTGTGTGTGTGTGTGTGTGTGTGTGTGTGTATATATATATATATATATATATATATATATATATATATATATATATATATCATTCTGTAAACAGCATAGTTAAAACAGAGACATAATGGCCTGCAAAACCTAAAATACTATCTGGCTTTTTACAGAAAGAGTTTGCCAAGTCCTGTTTTAGGCTAGTGCTTTTCAAACCTTATTATACATAGGAATCATGTCGGCATCTTGTTAAAATTCCAGAGATTGGAATTAAGTGATTTTGGGAAGACAGCCTAAAACTCTGCATTTCTAAAAATCTTAAAGGTGATGCAGAAACTCCTGATAGAAGTACACCGTTTGAGTGGCAAAGTATTTATTTAACTGTTCAAGACTAACATGAATGAATCTACTTGAGTTTTGTCTGCATTCCCAACTTAGTTGCAATTTAGTAACTGTTGCCTGCAGTGTAGGCGTTGTGTCTTTGAGACAGTTAAATTTTTTAACTTAAATTCAGCTAATCTTAGAAAAAGTTCTCAAACTGTGCTTTGCCCAGTGTTCTGTGAGAATGTTAATGAGTATACTCAGAGAAAAAATGTTCAAACTTGACTGTGAAGTTCTTGCGTCTATCCCTCATTAAGTCCATTAACTATGTACCCACTACCCCCGACACTCACCTATTAACCTCTTTGTGAAACACAATCTGGAAAACACTACTGGATTTATACAAGTTCCAACCCTTTTGATTGATGAAAACATCAGAAAATAATACAGTGAAAGGCAAAAACTTAAGAGCTTTGTTAGGCCAGTGCTATTTTTGGCATAATAATATTGCTAATCCAAGTAACTTTTTCCCCCCGTCTTTTTGTTCTTCATTAACTTTTTGGGGTGACATTGGTTAGTAAAATTTCATAGGTTTCAATTGTACTTTTCTGTAATACATCATCTATGTATTGTATCATGTGTTCACCACCCAGAGTCAGTTCTTCCATCATTATATTTTTTACCCCCTTTACCAACTCTTTTACTATCCCCTCATCCCCCACTTACCCTCTGGTAACCACTAAACTGTTATCTGTGTCTATGAGCTTTTGTTTCTTTGTCTTGTTTGGTTTTTGCTTTCAGTTTTATATCCCACATATGAGTGAAATCATATGGTTCTTGACTTTTTCTGACTTATTTCACTTAACATAATAATCTCAAGATGTATTCATGTTGTCGCAAATGACAATGTTTCATCTTTTCTTATGGCTGAGTAATATTTCATTGTATATACGTACCACATCTTCTTTATCCAATTATCTATCAAAGAACACTTTGGTTGTTTCCATGTCTTGGCCACCATAAATAAAGCTGCAGTGAACATCGGAACACATATATCTTTATGGAAAAATGTTTTCAGATTTGGGAGAGGGATTGCTGGGTCATATAGTAATTCTATTAATTTTCTTGAGGACCCCCCATACAGCTTTCCATAGCGGCTGCACCAATTTACATTCCCACCAGCAGTGTACGACGGTTCCTTTTTCTCCACAGCCTCTCCAACACTTGTTATTTCTTGTCTTATTGATAATAGTCATTCTAACTGGTATGAGGTCATATCTCATTGTGGTTTTGATTTGCATTTTTCTAATAGCCAGTGAAGTTAAGCATCTTTTCATATATCTGTTGGCTGTTTCTATGTCTTCTTGGAAGAAGTGTCTGTTCAGGTCGTTGGCCCATTTTTTAACTGGATTGTTTTTTCATTGTTGAGTTGTATGAGTTCTTTGTATATTTTGGATATTAGCCCCTTATCAGGGGTGTTGTTTGCAACAATCTTCTCACATTTGGGTTTGCCTCTTTGTTTTGTTGATGGTTTCTTTTGCTGTACAGAAGCTTTTTAGTTTGGTAGAGCCCCATTCATTTATTTTTGCTTTTATTTCTCTTGCCTTTGATGTCAAATTCATAAAATCTTCTCTGAATCCAAGGTCCATAAGTTTAGTACCTATACTTCTATGCAATTTATTGTTTCAGGTCTTATGTTTAGGTCTTTGATCCATTTTGAGTTTATTTTGGTGTATGGTGACAGGAGTCTAATTTTAATCTTTTGTACATGGCTTTCATTGTTCCTAGCCCCATTTATGGAAGAGGCTTTCTTTTCTCCATTGAACTTTTTTGGCTCCTTTGTTGAAAATTACCTGCCCATGTACGAGGTCGGACAATTAGGTTCTCGAACTTGTTACAACAATGTTGCTAACCGTATTTGTTATCAGAGGGACTATTCATTATCAATTTGTACCAACTGGACAAACAGTTAACCAAGTTTACTGTTTGGAAGTGCTGAAAAGGCTGCGTGAAAAAGTTA